TCGAGGAGGGTGTTCTCCTCAACATCGTCACCCCAGGTGTCTCCTTTGCGACGGCAGTCCGAGGCAGCTACAGGAAAACCATGTTCCGGTGGCTTGTCCAACCACAACAAGAAAGCAGATTGTACCGGCCCCTGCACTGCAGAAAGAAACAGATCAGTCAGCTCAGGCTCCTCACGTAAACAGTCAACCTCTCGACAATATGTTGAGAGTAGTGACTGTAGTACAGCAGATCGTGACAGAGGTCAGTGGTGCAGTGTCCAAGGACGACAAAATTGTGGCCATTACAAACATTGTATTAAATCTGATGAAACAAAATGGCCACTAGAGTTCATAGGCCACTCAAAGTCATAGCATTTAATGCGAACGGCATTGGGAGGCAGCGCTATGTGCTCAGTAAACAGCTGCAAGACCTACACGTATATGTGGCCCTGTTTTCAGAGACACGTCTGAAACCTCATGAGAGGTTCTTTATTCCAAATTACCACTTTTATAAAATCGATCGCCACTCGGGCAGAAAAGGCACTTGCAGTTAGGAAAGGCATCCCACATAACCATGTAGACCTACCACCCCTTGTTTCAGTATAAGCGACAGGGGTCTGCATACCAATTGGTAACAGCGAAGTGCTGCTTGCAGCTGTTTATAAATCTCCAGGCAGAGCCTGGAGTGATGCTAACATCACTGAGCTCCTAAGCTTTATATGTAAGTCAGTTTTGGCAGGTGATTTTAATGCTAAGCACCCATTTTGGAATAGCAGAGTTTCAAACCCTTCAGGCGAGAAACTCATGGATTTGTTTGATATGAGTAAATTCGAAATTTCAGCACTCATTATTCCCCCGCCGGAAATGGTGACATGTTGGATACCGTGGTTCACAAAAATATCAGAATGTCAGATGTCATTGTCTCTGATATTTTAGATTCAGATCACCTACCAACAGTATTCCACATACTGAATCAAGTTAAAATTAGGAATCTTTCGGAACCTATGGAAAAATTCACAGACTTGGAGCGGTTTCAAAGCCTCGCCTCTTGAGTTAATACCACCTAAAATAGAAATTAATTCGGGGGTAGAAGCCGATAAAGCGGCGCGCGACTTTGCAGCCTCTATTGCTTCGGCATATAGGCTGTCGACAAGTAAAGTTACACTTTCGGACATAAACAACCGTCTTCCTGGTCTAGATCGCTTGTTAAAACATAAGCAGAAGCTACGAAAATTGTGGCAAGAAACCAGGGATCCAGCGTGTAAGACGGCACTAAATTGGGTCACAAAATCATTCAAGCGAATGACCCGATAAAAGGCACTTGAACGGTGGGAAATAAAAATAGGTAAAGCTGGAGTCACACCTCGGGGTATATGGCCAATTGCGAAATCCCCCTTAAAGGGGGACGGACCAACTGTTATTCATGGTGCTTCTGGCCTTAAATTCCATCCTTCTGAAAAAGCTAACGAAATTGCCGACTGTTTGGAAATTCAGTTCACGCCGCACGATCTGTGTGACGGAAACAATGAATGGCGGGTGGAGGCTAGAGTTCAAGCTCTGCTGGAAGCCGTGGATGCAAACCCCCCTATAAGGATCAGACACCATGTGACGTACAAAAATTAATAAAATTCCTGAAATTAAGAAAGGCCTGTGGAGTTGGCGGCATCCCAAATGAATGCCTCAGGCACCTTCCAAGGCAACAATTGGTTCACCTAACCCATTTATTCAATCATTGTCTTCGGCTCTCTCATTTTCCAAATACTTGGAAGGAAGCAAAAGTAACAACTTTACCTAAACCCGGTAAAGACCCGAAATTCCCGCAAAATTTACATCCGATCAGCTTCCTTTCCACGACAGGAAAACTATTCGAAAAAGTGATTTTGAAATTACTCCAAAAATACATTGACGAAAGAGGCCTGCTCAACGCAAGCCAGTTTGGTGTTCGTGCACGTCACAGCACGACATTGCAATGTATGAGGCTGGCGGACCATGTGCCCCTTAATTTCAACAATAAAATGTCTACGGCTGCAGTGTTCTTGGACATCGAGAAAGCCTTTGATACCACATGGCACTCAGGTTTGCTGTATAAGTTATCAAAATTGGAATTCTCGAACAGTTAGACCAAGCTTATTGGGCCATTTCTCTCTCAACGTAAATTCAGGGGTTCGGTTGAAGGAGAAATGTCAGCGCCAAGGGAAATGCAAGCAGGAGTGCCACAGGGTTCGGTACTGTCCCCTACTCTTTTCAGTCTGTACATTAATGATGGCCCCCAACTCATGGTTTTCACCTGGCCCTCTTCGCGGACGACACCTGTCTGCATGCGACAGATCGCAAGGAGGGATTTATTGTCAGAAAACTCCAGCGCGGTCTCAGCTCAATGGAGACCTGGTTTGAGCGTTGGAACATTAAAATTAATGAAGATAAACCTCAGGGGGTCTACTTCTCTCGTAATCGTCGACTGCCCGAGTCTAGTCTTACTCTAAAGGGACGAAATATTCCATTTGCAAATAGCGAAAAATGTCTAGGTGTAATCTTCGATAAGAGAGTTACTTGGAGATTACACATAGAAATGATCGAAGCCAAGGCCTTCAGAACATTCATTAGAGTATTCCCTATTCAAAAGTGAGCGATTGAGAGCTAACATTAAACTGACCCTCCACAAAGCTCTCATTAGATCCGTAATGACTTATGCTAGTCCCGCCTGGGAGTTTGCGGCAGACACTCATCTAGTGAAATTGCAGCGCCTGCAAAACAAGGTTCTCCGCACCACTGACAATTTTCCAAGGCGCACATCGGTCCGCGATTTGCACATAGCGTTTAAAATCCCGTACGTTTATGACTATATAACAAGATTATGCAGGCAACAAGCAGAAGTCATAAAAATCATGAAAATGAGAGTGTTCGCAACATCGGACAAGGCGAAGCCCGACACAGAAAGTATAAGAGGCTTAAAGTTGGCGGCGGTCAGGCATACGACCGTTCAAATGACTAGACTGCCGTGGTAGCGAATACTACTAGAAATAGGGCATAATCTGCTGTACTGAGCCTGGACTGACAAAGGCCTTGTGTATATTATACAGGTACATACTAGATATTGAGACTCAATTGTAAATAAGTGTGCATAGTGACAGTGGACTAATACTATCGACTATGACTGACAAATGACCCGACCTCTCGTCAGAGAGGGCGCCCCACATGGACTGGACAGTAACTTTCATTTAAGGCCTAGCGCACACATACAATTTTCAGCTGGCCGATAGTTGTGCACGATCGTGGAGGCCCAGCGACTGTTGAGGGACGTGTGCGCACATACAGTTCCGAGTTGTGCTCAACGACGCCGAAATGCAGTCGGTCAGTCGCAGCCGTCGCAGCCGTCGCAGCATGGATGTGTACGGTACAGCAGCAGTATATGCATTATTAGCCGCGCCATAGCTCAAGCGGTTAGTGGCTGGCTTCCCACCGCGGCGGCCGGTTTCGATCCCGGGTCTGGTCAAATGGGGTTAGTGGTGGACAAAGTGGCGCTGGGGCAGATTTTCTCCGAGTACTTCGGTTTCCCCTGCCAATCTTCATTCCACCAATTGTACCACAATCACCCTCACCTATCATCTGGGGCTGGTACAAGAGACCAGAAGTGGCCGCAGTACAAGGGACTTAGTCCCGCCCCACTAGCAATAAAAAATGTGCATTATTAAGATTAAGGAAAAAAGGAAGCGGGCATATTGGGTTCACCCCATTTATATCGAACGTCTGTTAAAAGGAAAATTTTGCACACTGTACCATGAAGTGAGACAAAACCTATCAAAATTTTTCAATTATTGAAGAATGAGTGTCGATAGTTTTGATGAATATTTGCTTCTTCTGAAACCTCATATCTTGTACATGAATACAAGATGGAGATTACAATTTAATATTTCTAGAATTATTATTGCAAACACCGAAAAAGTAAAAACGTAAAGTAAAGGTATTCCTCTAACAGGCCGTGGAGGCCCAAAGGGTTGTGAGATGTTGAGCTTCCCACATTTTCTCTAGACAACCTGCTCATAGATGGCGGTAAGGTTGTCAGCCCTACGCGCCGGCCGCCCTTTACCGCCAAGAACATTCCAAGAATATTCCTGGTACTCATTTCTCTTAGAGGCTGAGTTGACCACAGGGCCATAGTGCGGCTGGAAGGATTGACTAAACTGAAAAAAAAAAAAATCCAATGACCTTATCGGGATTGAATCCCGCGACCTTCCCGCTTGTAGCATAGTGCCTCAACCAACTACGCTACCGCATGTCCCCTTTTTATTACAGAGTAACTTTCATTTAAAAAGTAACATCAGGTCATGAACCCCAGCCGGGTCTCGACACCCAGACGGACAGACTGACCGACCGTCAGTTGCAATGTAACTTTGACTTTGACTAAGGAGCCATTATTCCGCAGAACAGAAATCAGTCAGCCAGAGGAAGCAGCCGCAGGAGGAAGAACGCGTTATTAGAAGATTTTATGTGTGATAATCAGTGGTAGTTTGTGATAACTGAGAAGGCATTGTGTATTGGGAGTGTGCAATTCAGTGACACTTGTATAGCTCCCGCGTTGTGCTGTAAGCAAGTGAAGACTACTGATGACAGAACGAAGAGATTAGTGTGTAGGGTTTGTAAATTGTGTAAACCCGCAACAGTGCTATAAGTAATTGTAGTTACGACTTTAGGTTGTTAATAAATCCGATTAACAATCCGAACATCGTCCATAGTAGCTACAATAATAATGAGAGCCCCCCCCCACCAACTTTTAAACCAACTTGTGGGTAAATAATATGACAAAACGAAAGTAATTCTATCGTCACCGTGACACGGAAAGACAAATAGGCAGGCTGCAACAACCTGCCTTGTTTGAACATGTCATTTAGTGTGACTTCCATAGCTATTTGCATTTCCCTATCCATATCACAGAGACATCTCTCTTGAATAATATGACATTAACAACTGAGAGGTTTATTAGAGTTACACTTCTTGCCTGAGAAACTTTTGACGTTTTTCAGCGAAAATGCTTGGCGTGGCGCTCATTCTTATTGTGGCCGGTTTGTTGGCTGTATACTTCCATCTGAAGGCGAAGATTCGACCTCTGTTGAAGCTGGCCGAGAAAATCCCTGGTCCAAAACCTCTACCTCTGATTGGAAACGCTTTGGACTTCGGTTTGAAAATTGGCGAGTATATTATTATTATTATTATTATTATTATTATTATTATTATTATTATTATTAACTTATTGCACGTAAATAAACATGAATTGGATTGAATTNTTTTCTTGAACCAGTGATGCACCTCACCACTCAGGCTTCAAGCTTCGCACTGTGGCACTTTCCGTAGTATGTGTGATGTTCCCAGGATAGCTGTCTTTTGCAGTGAATCTGTGGAGTGCTTACCAGGAATTAGTTCCAAATTATTATTGTTATTATTATCATAATTATTTGGAGTTACGGTACATCCACTGATGTCGACAAACTGCAAAGTGCTCAGCAGAAGTCCTCAGCTTCTTAGTTCACCTTTTCTACGCGTATTCAAGCAAGGAAAGTTGCTTTGCTTGCTGCCTGTTTCATGCTGGAGTCTTGCTTGGCTTATTTTTCGTCCCTGATGATGGAGGTAATGTGTTCCTCCAAATGTCGGTTGAATTTTACCGGTCTATACGGCGTTACTTCCCGGAAGATAGAACTCTTCAACAGAATATCTTACACGAATATTTTTGCATATATTTCATTTTTCTCGTTTGTAGATCCTAATTTAATTTTTGTTAATGGTATTATTTGTATTATTATTATTATGCTTACTCCTGGAGCTGAGCCCTTCTGAAGGGAGCCGCCAATTCTACAGCTACTGAAGAATTTCCTAGCATTTTATGGAACCCGAAGGTTCATTACCGTGTTCACAAGTGCCCTCCACCAGTCCTATCTGAGCCAGATAAATCCAATTCATCCCATCCCATCCTATCTCTCTAAGATCCATTTTAATGTTGTCCACGCACCTACGCCTTGGTCTTCCCAGTGGTCTCCTTCCTTCTGGCTTTCCCACCAATATCCTTTATCTTTTATCTTCTCCCCCATTCGTGCTGCATGCCCTGCCCAACTCATCCTCCTTGACTTGATCATTCTAATTATACTTGGAGAAGAGTACAAGTTGTTATTATTATTATTATTATTATTATTATTATTATTATTATTATTATTATTATATTTTGTTTGCGCGTGTTTATCTCTACACGATCTCACTTCACAATTGGCCTTTGGCTGTTACGTTAGTAGAAAATGAACAGATTTGACCTACACGTATGTATTGTTTGTATTGTATTGTTTTCTTATATTTCTACAGCATTTATTGCATTGGCTCTGTAAGCGATTCCTATAGCTGTTGATTTAACATGTAAAAATGTAGACTTGAATTTAATTATACAGACTACACAGGTTGCATGTAAGCAGCTCAGATGAATCTGGTATGGTTCTGAAGCTTCAATTTGAGGATCTTCTCAAGATGGGGTTTCGAAAATTCCTAAACAGATGACAATTTGTGCGCGTGCCAGTAAGTAATGGTGTACATTACAATGTATGAGGGGCAGTCAAATGAAAACGAGTCGGAAGCCAAAACGTATTAAAGAACATTTCTTACCTCAAAAGTGGTCTCCAAAACTGTTAATACTTTTATCCCACTGGGAGATAAGACGGTCAATCCCGTCCTTGGAAAAGCTTGTGGGCTCTCTACGGAACCACATCTGTACCCAGCCACACGTCTTCGTCCCTTGCAAACCGATGTCCACGAATGTCTCTCTTCAGGGCTCCAAAAATGTGAAAATCACATGGGGAGAGATCTGGGCTGTAGGGGGGATGTTGAAGCACTTCCCAACCAAATCTCTGTAGCGTATTCCTCAGAGAGTTGGCAGTGTGGGGGCGCGCATTATCATGAAGAAGGATAATGCCGTTCGATAGCATTCCAGGGCGTTTTGACTTTATGGCACGTCTCAGTTTCTGCAAAGTGTCTTCATAGCGCTGTGCACTGATTGTGGCCCCATGCTCGAGAAATTCGACAAGCAGAGGGCCCTTGCAGTCGAAGCGAAAAGAACGTCATCATCACTTTACCGAAACTTGTGTGTACAGCTTTGGATTTCTTTGGTGGGGGAGAAGTCACGTGCTTCCACTGTTGGCTCTGCCATTTGCTCTTGGGTTCAAAATAGTGGCACCAAGTTTCGTCCCCAGTGGCAATACAGGGCAGAAAAGCATACTCTTCCTCATAGTATCGTTGCAAGTGACCCAGTGATGCATCCATTCTCTGAGTTTTCTGTTCCTCTGTGAGTTGACGTGGAACCCACTGCATGCAGATTTTGCGGTACAGCAGGTGTTTTGTCACAATGGCGTGTACGGAACCGTGACTTATTCCCATCAAAAGACTAATTTCTTCCACAGTGATCCGTCGGTTTGCCCGGATATGACCATCCAACGCAGCAATAACATCAGGAGTGATGACACGATGAGCCTGTCCTGGGCGAGCATCATCTTGCAGTGACACACAACCCTCTCAGAATCTCTTATGCCACGCCAGCACACGCGAACGTGACATGCTGTGTTCGCCGTAAACAATAGACATGCGACGATGAATTTCTCGTCCTCCTACTCCTTCAGCAGTCAAAAAGGGCACTGCACTTCGCTGCTGTTCTTTACCCGCCTCCATTACTGATGTTGGATAACCACACGTAACGCTAACCTTACTTCCAGCACAATAAACAAACGACTATTGTGCAAGGTCACGTCACTGTGCTTTCCCGAATCTCCACCAGATGTTCGTACCATAAACAAATTCCAGTGTTACCAACTTGCGCGCCGTGTGAGTTACGCGTGGTGACCCGTTTTCATTTGGCTGCCCCTTATATTTTCAGTGTGCTTACATTTCTCTATAGCTGCCCAGTTGCATCTACCGTGGCTTGTACGAGGACTAATCGGACTTCTGCTCTTTCCAATTCTATTGCATCAGATACAACACCAGTTCCTTTGATGTAAATTCTATTCACAGGATCAGCTTAATTTTGGACTTTGTCCGTCGTCTGGCACACTAAAAACACTATAGAAGAGAAGGTTCCGGAAAATGAATGTTTCCTTCCTCAGGTGAGGGGCGAAAGGCACCTGCTCTGTTGGGTTCGTTGTATAGATGCATATACGTAAACATAAAGTTATCCCTTTGCTTATCTAATTAAGCACTACGCCATGAAGACGTATGGGGGAGTGGTTGTATGTATCCATATTTTCTTGACCTCGGCACTAGTTGGAGGTGAGTGGTCAGTTTCACGCCCCGGCCTCTTTACCCCCAAGAAAGAGGCCCCCGTACCCATTGGATAGGAGGTTGGGTGGACGACTTGGAAAAGAGAAGATTCTTGACTCTAGCGGGACTTGAACTCCGACATCTCGGCCGACTGCGCTATTTCGGAATATACGTGTTATGCGTATTATGAACATCGAATGTCAAATGATAACTACAGACTGGGCAGCGAGGGATGTGGACTTGAACAATGTTAGCATATTTTAAAACACTATTCCAGCATTCTCCCGGATGAATTGAAAAGCGACACAGTCTGAATCAAATTAGCCAGTACTCGGGAGTGATTTAAACTCAGTACGTCCAGAATGGAACCCAGATGCTTATGCAGTTCTTGAATCTACACGTGGAGCATTGATCGCAATTGTGCGCTTTGTTGTTTCACGTTTTGTGACCCCTGTAGGGGACTAGAACAACCGCAGCCACATGCCCCTGGAAGCTACGGTCGGGGCTGGGGTGAAGAGCAGGGGGCTTAATTGAGGAACAGAGATAGCAGCCCAGGCATCATATCATTAAATAGAGAATGGGGGGAGGAGACATTTGGTTCGAGGTCAAATCTGGCCAATACTTTTCGTCCAAAATGCACAGAATGTTCGTCCCTGCTTCCGGATACGTCACGGCATCTTCTCCACGGGTTGCCAGCTTTCTTTGCGCTGACAAACGAGTACGCTATGCACGCGCACACTTGTCAATGTGCTGAACATTAGGAAAAAGAAAAGCATTGGTACTGCAGCCAAAATTTACCTCCTTGCAGAGGTCAGTCTTCCTTAATTTGAATTTTTAGAGTCAAGCTCCGACCTTCTTAAAATGATGAAGTGCTCCCAGTACCCATTTGATACAAACCAGCTAACTATTAAGCCTATTAGTACGCAGTGAACGCTATTTAGTCTAATGAATGTCTTGTCTAACAGAGATTAATGTCTTCCAGATTACTATAGCACCGTCATCCGTTTGATGAGGCAGTATGGCTCCATCATGAGGATATGGTTGGGACACGAACTCCTCATATTGATAGCTGATCCAAACCACGTGGAGGTAGGAATCACACGTCACGATAATACTAAGACTAGCAGAAAGCTAGATAAGATTATTAACTACGGTTTCCATTACCAAGTGTACAAATGCCCTGTACCGCCTACACTACAGGTACACTGCAGGTAATTATGTTTTTTATCCTTCTCCCATGCTACAACCAGCTCGCCTGTTTCGTGTTCCTCGACTTTCTGACGAAACCGGTTCTTTATGAAGGCTTTATGACAGGCTGAAACACAGGATAATGTTGTGGTGAATCTGAAAATTGTTCTTTGTTCTGTAGCAAATACAGATCGATACGATCACAATACTGCTCTTTGCCCTCTACCTCATTTAATTTCTTGAGATTGAACCTCTCCATATGAACTCTGTGTGTTGTCTGTTTGCTCACTGCCAGTCTTTCCCTAACCTTTGCCACCACCAGGTAGTGGTCAGTATCACAATCTGCTGCCCTGAATGATTGAACACCGAGTATACTTCAGTGTCATCTCCTATCTATCAAAATATGGTCTATTTGATTGTGTATCTTCCCATCAGGAGGTGTCAAAATAAATTTATGGATGTTATGATGTGGGAAAGTGTAAATATATTATAGAAAATGAATATTTACATTCTGCATTCACATAACACAGTAGGAAATCTGATTGTTGATCTTGGGTCATGCAGAGAAAGAGAGAGAGAGTGAGAGGCGGACTTGAAGCAATTTGGATCACAATTTCTAATAAAAAAAATATATGTCAAGTATTAAGAATTAAATTTAATTATAGCAACATATTTCAACACATTTAATTTCTTAGTAATTCTTATCCGTTTATTTATGTTCCTCAGAAAGACTCTTCGACCCCCATACCCCAAACTCTTCAAATCTTATCTGAACGACCGATATTTCCAAACCAAAGGAGGAAGCGAGACGTCAGATATTTACCCAATTGAAGCAGGTGTACCTCAAGGCAGCGTGCTGGGGCCAATGCTATATGTACTCTTCACGTCAGACATTCCAACATCAACAAACACCACTACCGGCACGTTCGCAGACGACACAGCGATCTTATCAAGCAATAAAAGTCTGGAGCTAGCCACAGTACATCTACAACAACATCTCGATACCCTCCAGGATTGGTTCAAGAAATGGAGAATAAAGATAAATGAAAGCAAGTCTGTTCATATTACCTTTACATTAAGGAAAAAGAAACCAACAGTCGTCCATATAAATAACACCGTTATTCCTAGCAAAGAAGAAGTTAAATACCTCGGAATGCATCTAGACTGCAAAATGACGTGGAAATGCCACATAACAAAAAAACGTAAACAAATAGATTTACTGACCAAGCAGATGTCCTGGCTTATAGGCAGAAGATCACGAAAACAAAATCCTTATATACAAAACAGTAATTATACCAATCTGGACTTACGGCATTGAACTTTGGGGATGTGCCAGTAACTCCAACATCAATATTATCCAAAGATCACAATCCTAAGGATGTTAGTCGACGCACCTTGGTATGTGTCAAACAAAACCCTACATCAAGACNCAACAATAGAAGATTAAAAAGGAAATGGCCAAATGACCTGATATAAAACAAATCAACTTCTGAAGAGGTAATGTCGATGGACATTTTCCTCGCATGACATGTAATAGTCCTTAGCGAAACCATTAACCTATAGAATGTACGTAATTCTGACTGTTAATAAATAAGTTCCTCCGAAATTTATGTTCCTTGTCGTCATTTTCCACTTTAAATTCCTTCTACTTCATTTTCCTCAGTCCGCGAAATTATTTAATTAATGATAATGTGAGTAATCTATTATTTTTATTAATAATTTGTTAGTGTATTAATAATTTTTTAGTGTTACTTGCCTCTTTCCTCTGTCGATCTCATACAAATTTACGTTGTCAGTGCCCAACGTGGCATTCTTCTCTTTGAAATAAGGTAATTAATTGCCAATATTAATGTAAAAACAATTAAAATGTAGAAAGGAGAGGGGGTGAAGATTCTGGGAAAACAGGATATAAAGAGCCACTGACCAAGCGTTAATGCCATTATCACAAACTCATAATAATAATAATAATAATAATATTTTTCGGTTTCAACCTCACATAAGAAACATGTCCTCTTTTTGAGTGTGTGTGTGTGTGTGTGTGTGTATGAGGTGGGCCATAAAATCCGGCCCTTGCACTGCGACCTTCAATGATCTATTGTGCTTCCCCTTTGGATTAACACATTATCAATCCTACACTTGGAATGAAATGTAGGGCTTTATTTATGGGGGCGTCATAAACGTCACTTGGTTCCATGAAGAACTGACCCTGGTGACGAAATTTTAAGTAAGCCTCACAATTGGCCTCACAATTACATAGGATATGTGTGGCTGACTCGACTTCTTGTAGGTACCTTTCACAGGTTGGGTCATCTATTAGTTCCAGTTTGAAAAGGTGTCCTTTTAGGTAGCAGTGTCCAGTAAGTAATGTCCTCCTTTATTTTTGAACTGCGTTACAATCAACCTTCTTTCGTACGTCCAGCCTACTCTTTGCTGCAAGGCCAATTGCGATGTAAACTCCATATCTAAATATCCACGACTTAGCTATTGAACTGTACAAGATTACCAGACTGCAGCATATACCTCCTTACATACACGTACGAGTATAACCTCTTGTTTTTCATTTCTAGGACGTCAGCTTGTCGTGCTAGAAAGTTGAACAGATATATTCATACTGTTGTGGGTGGCTCCTCTGTTCATTCATCGATTATAATTTATGTTTTAACGGGATAACATATGCGCAGTCGAATGGCTAATAACTTATCTGTTACAAATGATGATTTAGAATTACTAGCTGCAAGGGATTCAGGACAAACACACATCGCAGTCCTGAATATTCTTTGGGCATGATTTGCACTCGACGCTTTCTTTTTATTTTCTTTTCTTTCTTTGTTTCATTTTTTCCCTTTTCTGCAGAAAATACTTGGGAGCAACAGGATGCTCGACAAGGCCTACCCATACAGATACTTGCAACCTTGGATCGGGGACGGCTTACTTACTAGCACAGGTAAGTTCGTTTGAAATTAATTAGATTTTTTATCCGCCTGATTAATATATTTTCACGAGTTTATGGCTGAGTAACTAATAATAACAACGGGTTCCGGATTGGATGATTGCATTCATTAACGCCTTCTTGTACAATCTCTCTTAGTCACAACCAAATACAGCAGCTCACAGTAAATGGCTGCCCAAGACTCGCTCCATTCTTCTTCTTCTTCTTCTTCTTCTTCTTCTTCTTCTCCTCCTCCTGCTCCTCCTCCTCTCTCTCTCTCTCTCTCGATTCGGTTCTGTATTAATCATATAGTCTCGAGGTGGACCAATAGAACACACATCCGTTGCACAGCAATGGATATGTGAACCACATAGAAAACACCTCATCCTCTATTGTATTTACAGAGCAAAGGAAGTTATCCGATTGTTGCCTGCGTATTCGTTGCTACGGGAATGTGTTTACCGAGTCGTTGCCTAGAAATGGGTCTACATGTCACAATATGAACTCCTATAAAACAACATATTGTGACACATATGTGTGACTATAGATGGGGTTTGGATTGGTAACTGAATTTATTGACCACTTACAGATCGTAACTACAAGTAATTATGGCGCTCTCGCTAATTCACACACTCTAGAATTCATTATAGCATGCACGAAGTTTTCACCGCTGGTCGCCTGGTAACGACTTCCAACGCCGTAGTGTGAAAGTTCTTTCGGTCGAAGCCTCGCATTGGGCTCCACTTGTGAGAGTTCTTTATTGGGGTGGCTTTGCGTAATCACCACGTTGACCGTCCTTCTGCACCTTTGTAATTGATAGGGCGCTGTTGTGTGGTCTGGGAAACACGTCGAGATGGTTGGGGGTAGAAAGAGGATAAAGTTCTGGGTTGAGCAATGAGATTCTCTCAGGGCTTAACGGGCCTTGCTACGAAGAGAGAGGTCTTCCTGGTGAAGAATTCTCCGGATCACAACTCTGTATTAATAATACACTTCTTTATTGACAGCACTGCACGGTTACAAGCTGCAGTCACTTTCAATTACAGCTGCACTTTTGTCACTCACTGTACACGGCTTCAAGATTCACAACACTGTGTTTCATTGAGTACGGTAGATGATGTATGTCAATCTCCCAGCCTGGGGTCTCGCCGAATCTTCATGTCCACTCACTGATTGCCCAATTGATCGGCTAATTGACTCACTGAGTTGCTGAGTGCCTGTCAGCTGGGGGTAAATCCCTTTAAATACTGAGATGACGTAACATCCAGAACCTCTTTCCAGATCATTTAGCCGGGTCCAGACTTGTTGCGTATCCCCGTATCGTATCTCCGTATCGTATCAGTGTGGACGGTACCCCGTATCATCCTTCCTTTGGAAAATGATACGCGACGGGCTGTTCGCTCGCTTGGCGGTCTTCTCCCGTCGCATCAAAGGGACGACTCGGGTTGCAGTGGTGCCAGTCTGGACGTGTAGGCGGCTGCAACGCGCTTTGCTTATCAGCTCCAGACAGTTGGAGTGTAGTCATCACCAGTGTGCGTTTGAAGTGTATTGAAGACTGACGTATGAGTCTCCAGTTGGCAAAAATCGCAGTGTTACAGCCAAACTTTCCTGAACAGGAATTGCTTTTCTGAACACGGTATTTTTTTTTTAAATTTCGGCCCGATCAAATTTATCAACAACTCAAAATCTGACGGATGCATCCTTGTGAAATTTTTGTACATCCCACTGACTGACTGAAAATTTAAGTCCGCCAAAAGATTGGACCCATTGTATACTTTCCTACTGGCATAGATCGGTGACATCCACAAACGTCGTGATTTTGTTCTTCTTCCTTTTATAGCATAGTGAAGATAGATGTACGCGGCCGCTGCTACCGTCAGGTTGGGTGTAGTCATTGCTGACTGAAATCTGGCTCGAGACTGAGATTCATTTCTTCGTTGCCAAGGAGAAATTTTATCGCGTTGCATCGGTTGATACGCAACAAGACTGGACGAAAAATTTTGTCGCGTTGCATCGGACGATACGCAACGGAGATACGATACAGGGATACGCAACAAGTCTGGACCCGGCTTTACAGTAGCTTCCTCAGCTTCCGTGTCCACTCCCAGGCTAGCGGCCATCTCACACCGAAGTCCGATCCAGCCCAGTAAATTGCTGCTGGACCTCGCCAGCACAGTCGTACTTGGTTTCGGGCCCCGTTAGGACCCATGACCATATTTTAGTTCTTTCCACACTTTTACGTGTCTTGAAATTGGGTTTCCCCTTTAATGAGTGGAAGGGTATGACTACTACAGATCACTCCCCTTCTACTGGGGAGTGACTCTGCTGGCTCTCACTCACTCACTCCCACGCAAACGCTTGCCACTGACTGAATAATTCCGACCGCTAAATTGCTGCTGGTACTCGGTAGCACAGTGATTCTTGATTCTGAGTCCCGCGGGATTCACGGTCATATTTTAATATTTGACGGTTTCTGAACTCTCAAGTCGTATTGGGGTGTCCTTACATGACCTTGGCACGGACTGCGTAGAAAACACCGCTCCTCATTGTTGTAGTTCAACTGCTGCCGTGGGAATATTGTTTCCGGAGCGGTTACTCAGTAACGGCTGTCGTATATTTGCATATTCCGCGGTAGTTACCTAACAACGGGTCTATATGCCACAACATTTTAAACAATAGTTTCACTCATTCAACTTAAATCAAAAGTGTTAGCTTTAATTCATACGATGTCATGCTGACATTTTTGTTTGTCAGAGCTACTGTTCTCTTGTTGGTAAATAATACATACAGTACATAAAACTCCCAAAGAAATCGAAGTTTAGGAAAGAGATCCTTCTCCGTGCTCTGTGACAGTGTGGCACAGATAAAGTGCCAGCAGATGTTATACGTGTATGGTGTTCGAGAAAGCAGTTTTTGCAAGGAACGAAATTTTCGACAGTTCGCGCTCCTAGGGCTACAGGAATATTGTGAATGTTTGAGAAGACAGCGCTCAGGAGTTTTTTTCTTAATGGACAAAACATAAAAAGTAAGGAAAATTTGCGGGATAAGAACTTCATAATTTGTCTGTTTTGTAAGACGGGACTACTGTTAGGGCAGTCAAGTGAAGGGAAATGAGATGGGTGAAAACCATCGAAGAATGACACCAGTTGGAATAACTTGGCATAGATGAGAGAATAATATTAAAACAGATCTTAGATGTGTAGAATTTGTTAGTGTGGAGTGCATAAAAGTTGCTTGGGAATGGTCTCTTGGGGAGAAATTTGAGCACGGTGTGATACTTAGGGTTCCACAAAATGCTAGTGAATTTCTTGATAAACCGGCTAAGTATCAGCTTTCTAAGAAGACCATGCACTTTTTAGTTAGTTACGATGATAATTCAGGAACCACTGTCAATCATAGTTGCCTGTAAATGGGTTCCTTTACTACCGAGTTTTAAATTGAACATTCAGAAACGCTAGCATCCCAGAAGTTCTCCGAATACGGTGTTGGTATTATTTATGGCATGGAATTAAAAAGAATGATTATGGGTATTGTCTAATGAATGGAAGTATGTCAGTACCAAGTTTCAGAAAAATCTTGAATAAGTTCGAAGACCTCGAGCGCGCATGTACATGATATACTCGTATGCTGACCATTGCTTAGAAGGGAATATGTTAATACCCAGGGCCCGGATTTTGATGACCTGTCATATTTTTTTCTTGTATCCTATGCGATGCTCTTAAATATATAAATCTCGGATATGAGCTGCTGGTTACAGAAATGTAAATTTTATAGATAATTTTTTGACATTTTTAGGTTTAAGGTCTTTTTTTTTCATTTTGGGTGTAATTGTTTGGTAAATTTTTGGACTTTTAATGGTATTTATTGTCATTTTTAGCCATTTTAGGGAATTTTTGTTCATATGTTTTCTGAAATGTGAATAACATGGAAGCAAAATGTTCTTTCTTTTCGCCTTTACGCCATTTTTATGGATTTTTTTTCGGTCATTTTATAGATCATTTTTTTAATATTTTCAGGTCATCAAAATCCGGGCCCTGCATATTACACTTTTGGGTCATATTTTAGGTCATTTTTCTGGATTTTTTCGGTCATTTTATAGGTCATTTTTTAAATATTTTCAGGTCATCAAAATCCGGACCCTGTTAATAATCCTGCTTTTCATTTAAAGAACATATTTCCAGGGAACGTGTACAAGCAGATCCTGTCACTAAACACAACAAAATGTTTCGTGTAAATATCGAGAGATCGTGGATTATTTTCCATTTCCTAATCTTCCAAAATATCAAACGAATTTACCACACAAACAGTGTACCAGTGCAACCGAGTGAAATACCTTGGCAGCAGTCGGATTTTTACAGGTGAAAAATGGAGAGGACACCGTAAGATGCTCACCCCGTCATTCCACTTTAAGATACTGGAGGAGTTCATAGACGTGATCAACAGCAACGAAAAAATCATGGTACAAAAAATTAAGAAGCACGTGAACGGCCCTGAATTCGATATTTGTCCTTACGTCACCCTCTGCGCCTTGGACATCATCTGTGGTAAGTGCAACGTTCCGCTTAATTACTTATCTATCAAGGAGAATATGTCTACCTAGAGTAATTAAAATATAAATACTGCAGGCTACGACCTTCTCGTGTTTCAGAGACAGTGATGGGAGTGCCTGTACAAGCTCAACAGGATAGCGACTCCGAGTACGTTCAGGCTGTTCGGAAGTAAGGCTCGTTTTCTTTCACCACTAATGAAACATTTTGTACTAAATCTTCAGACTCAGAGGTTAGGGGGCGGTAATGAGTTTTCCAGAATTAAGTAGACCCTTCAGATCAACAGAAAAAGAACTAAACATATTCAACCAGTAAGCGCCAAGTTTCGAATCTTTCGACCCTTACCAATGTTGATATATCCGACAGTATGTGACATATGTTCTCAGTTTATCTGGGCTACAGTTTTATGGTATACAGAGTGATTCTACATTATTGCTGGGACTGTGTTTATAGGCCACGGAAACACCGACAATAATTTAGAATCATCCTTTATTTGAAAGAAAATTTTGACCACATTAAATACTGCACTTAAGAAACTAGTGTGAGCGGGCGATCTAATGCACTCATCTCTTCGCCCGCTCAAACATTCGGATCGTCGTTCGAATCCCACTCAAGGCATGCATATCTGTCCGCGTTTCTTCTGTGTTTGGTTTGTCCTGTGTAGGTAACGACCTTGCGACAGGTCTGATCACCCGACCAAGGAGTCCTACCATTGTTTCAGATTAATTCTGATGGGAACGAGGCCAGGGGGCCTAATAAGATGGAAGAAACATAAGTATTACTTACCCATGACATAAATATAGTTCTAGCAATCTAAAATGGTAGTTTGGTATTGTATGAATTAAAATTGGCACTTCTGGACTTAATTATAAAATTATGTACGGTAAAGCTATCCCTGTAATAGGCCGTGGAGGCCATTAGGGTTATGAAAAATCGATGCTCCCACATCTTGTCTAGACAATCAGTTCACAGATGGCAGTAAGGTTGTCAGCCTTTTTTTTTAAATGCTAGTGGGGTGGGACTAAGTCCCTTGTACTGCGGCCACTTCTGGCCTATTGTACCAGCCCAAGATGATGGGTGAGGGTGATTGTGGAGCAACTGGTGGAATGAAGATTGGCAGGGGAAACCGAAGTACTCGGAGAAAACCTGCCCCAGTGCCACTTTGTCCACCACAAATCTCAGACCCGGGATGGAATCCGGGCCGCCATGGTGGGAAGCCAGCGATTGACCGATTGAGCTATGGCACGGCCCTAGAAGGAATCAAGTATAAAGTCTAGTTTATTAAGAAAATAATCAAAATTACCCGATGGAGCTCTGTATATGCTGCAAATAATAATCTTATCCCTATTTATTTTATTCGAATAGCCGCAATTTCCTAATCTTGTTCCTTACAGTATTTTTGTNTCCCGAAGTTTGGTCCATTCCTCCTGGGACACCCTGTATAAAGGAATCATGAGTTCATCAACTTTACCATTCATACCCCTAATATTCTGATGGAAAATCCTAAATAGGTTTTGCGAGTCATCATTCTTATTACCGACTAATTTACTGTTTATAGAATATGATTTATTAGTATAATGAACTTCTCTTTGAATGACATGAGTATTATTTAATCGACTAGAAGGATTACTATCACAGTTTTTGTTAACTGAATTCAGACTTAACTCTCCCATACAGAATCACCATTCCTCTTCACAGGCAACTTTTTTGATCTTGTGGAGTATCTCCGAACTTACCGCGGCGGCCCGGATTCGATCCCGGGTCTGCTCAAGTGGGATTTGTGGTGGACAGAGTGGCGCTGGGGCAGGTTTTCTCCGCGTAGTTCGGGTTTCCCCTGCCAATCTTCATTCCACCAATTGCTCCACAATCACCCTCACCTATCATCTGGGGCTGGTACAATAGGCCAGAAGAGGCCGCAGTACAAGGGACTTAGTCCAACCCACCAGCAATAACAAAAATCTCCGAACCTGTATATCCTCATGCACAGGATAAATTTGTTTGCTTTTAGTAGAATGATTTTGTTGCGCTTCCAAATTATCAAAACCTGAAGTTGCAGGAATTGTCTGTAAGTTCACCTTTGTCACTGATTTCCATTCCAAACCAATTGAACTATCTACTTTCTCTCTGTCAATCCATAGATTTCCATTGCTATTTGTTTAGCAACTAGTCTCTTTCCTAACCTATTTAAATGTACTCGTAGACCATGTTGCGTGAATGCCTCTCTGCTTAAACTAAGCTCTATTATTGTCACGTGATTGTAATGTTTTGTAACCTTCCTTAATTTTCGATTAAAAGCCTGAATTTCCTTATTCACAATGGAATTCTCTTCTAGGTGGTATCTATACGGAATGTCTAACACTATTATGTTTGTATTATTAACGACCTCACAAATTTTCAAAATCTGTAGTAATGCAGCCTTAGCACTGTTGCAATATACATCACTGGCCCCTCCCTTTACATCCTTTTTTGTTAGATGTTTATATTTTGTGCTAGATTGTGTTACCATAGCAACAACACTTGCACCCGGCTTGACCATACTCGTACACTTCCAATTTCTTTCCCAAATATTCTCCAACCCTTATTGCACTTCCCTTGGAGTGTCTATCACCTACTATCATTATATTATGATTATTAACTTCGTTCATTTCATTCTTCAATATATTACGTTTGAAATTATTTATTTTGTTTACACTATTATGAACAAAGCTTGGGTATTGGACTAAGTTATCACAGTTGTTATTTACTGTTTCACCATTCACTATCACTGGTATTTCACCAGTTGTTTTCTCTTACTATTGAGATTGAATCTTTGGCTTTCTTATTATATATTTCGCTAGAATTAGAAGTCTTTTCATTTACTAAAACAGTTGACTTCATCGTTTCGTTGAGGTTAGTCTGAGCATCAAAACGACTGTTAATTCGCAAGGATATTTCCCTGCAGTCCTTTATCTTATTCCTCTTCTCCTTATGTTGATTCAATTGCTCCTGAGTCCTATTTCTTTCTCCTGGAAGCATGTCGAGTCCACAACCTTTGTTCTGTACTGTGGTTGAGTTTCTCTTATCCTCCATATCGGTAATACCAAGCTCTTCTTTTAGAATACCCATGATTTCTATAGCAGATTCGAGTTCAGATGTAATACTGTTCAATTCTAATTTCTGCCTTGCAAAACTCAGACATACCGGAGCTTTCTTTTTTATGATATATGAACCACCAGCAGAACTCTCACACACACTATTCGCCATCATGACTCACTAAGGTTGTCAGCCTTACGCGACAACCGCCCTTTACCCCAGGAAGATTCCTGGTACTCATTTCTGTTAGAGGCTGAGTCGACCTCCGGGCCATAGTGCGGCTCAATGATTAGGTCAACTTAAAAAAATCCACCTCATCAGGATTCGATCCCGCGACCTTCCGGCTTGTAATATAATGCTTCAATCAACTACGCTACCGCGTGCCCAAAAAATTATGTGTTACAATACAAGTTAGAGGAATAATTTCTACATGTTAATTTTTTTAATATGACTAGCCTGACGTTTTCAGACATTGGAAATAGCCTTGTCCGCGAAGTTCAGACGGCGTCTGCATCCATTTCCAGTCCTGCAGACAAAATAGTTTCAGCCTCGCTTATGGAATTTCTCAATTCGTTAATTGAACGTGTTATCGCCCTATTGCACCTGCGCCGAGCACAGCGACGCAAATAGTTACGACCCAGTGGTTATATTTTTGAGAGAATGTTGTAATTACATGGACAGGGACAGTGATGCGAAACAGTCTATAGAGTCTCATGTGCAAGGACTGGAGAATCTTCCTCCTGAGTAATGACTCTCGCGGTCTTCATGTTCCAAAACCGATAAAACAAAACTAGATTTTCCGGGAACTACTACATTTGACTTCGGTACAAATAACATACATATTGTAATTACCAGGCTTCACTTGCATGTTTCAACGTGTTTACGTTCAACCCAACAATTAACGCTGTATTTTTAAATCTGAGGAGGCATTATAATGACACACTCAAATGTTGCTAACAGAAATTATTCATAAGAGCACACCGGTGTGAAATATTTATAGATGTCAGACTTATTCTTCTTCCGAGGATCCGAGGTTTGTAACACTTCCCATTCGGGTTGGGGGGGGGGGATGCAGCGCCCGCCCCCAAACTACCGTGCCCTATTCCTCACAACTCGGCCACAAAAGAGTATAAGGGGAGAGTTAGGCCTAATAGTGTCCAATGGACGTCAATAGTAGCCAAATTCAAACAGGAGGAAAGAAAACACTGGTTGCAAAATACTGTCACACGTCTGAGTGACTAGAGACGAGCTTGGATTGGTAATTAGGTTTATTGAAGTCGTCCAGAAAGCAGCTACAAGTAACTATAGCGCTAACGCAAATTCACACAGGCTGCAGGTTCCCTAGAGCAGGCACTAAGTCTTCTCAATCTACTATGTCTTCACAAGTCGTTGCCTGTTAGTGACTTCCAACAGCTGACTTTCCCGAACTGTCCCCGTGCCTCAGCTTCCAGCTTGTAACAGCAACGGCTCACAACGACTGAACTGCAGTTCTCTGACTACCTCACTAAGTCGCCAACCAATTGCTCATTTCTCTGCGCTTTACTAACTGTCAGTAATTGTCCTGCCCATAATCTCTAGGCACAGACCCCACAGAAAACATTTTTCCTCTGTTGCTGTATCCACTGTTGCATAGCAGACCGCACAGAAAACACCGCTTTTCAGTCAGCATACTGAAGCGTGTTAGAATCTGTTCCTCAGCAAAGGGCACTGTTCAGAGAGTCACCAATTGGCAACGGTCCTACATGCTACAATATCAGAATGTCAAGTTGTGGCAATATGAGAGAGTCCAGATAGCTCAGTCGGTATAACGGACGACTACGGGCTGAAAGGCTAGGGTTCGATTCCAATCTATCTATCTATCTGTCTGTCTGTCTGTCTATCTATCTATCTATCTATCTATCTATCTATCTATGGCTCTACAGCCTTATGTTGAACCTTGGCCGTTTTTTCTTCAGTTTCTTAATTCCATAGACAGTCGGTAGGACTACTTGGACGGGGGATCAGCCCGCCGCAAGGCCGCTACCTACGAACGGAACAACACAAACACAGACATCCATTCCTTGAGTGGAATTCGAGCGAGCGAAGACAGTTCATGCATCAGACCGCGTGGCTAGTGTGATCGGCTCGATTCCTGTCAGGAGTGAGAAATGTTTCTCTACTCTACAGTGATGAAACCGGTTCTTGGGGCCCACCCAGCCTCCTGTACATTGGGTAACACCTAGAGGTAAAGTGGCAGGGGCACGAAGATATGTACACGCGCCTCCATCTAGTGCCGAAGTCTAGAATGGTGGAGCTATATCCCCATTCCGCAAATGTCTTCATGGCATAGCCCTTAACTAATTAAATACAGGAACAGCTTGCCCTTTTTAATGGTTGTGTAGAAATACACTCGCACATGACAGGGAAAATCGTTTCCTTTTGTGAGAATGAGATACTCACGGCGGGGCCAATGAAAGTTGCTATTTTCTGAAATCTGATGTCGCGTGGTTTGGTTTCTAACAAAGCACAGACGTCACATCTCAAATGATAGTACTCTTTCATTTCTTTCTTCCCTTCCACTGTCCCATTCGTGCCCTCAACACTCTCATTCCGTCCTTTATTCTCTAAATTGTTACATTTAAGATATGAACATGTTTTTATGTTCCAGAATGGGCGATGTCGTCATGCAGAGGGGATTCAAACCGTGGTTACAGCCCGACCTCCTGTTTAAACTTTCGCCACTGGCAAAGGTGCAGGAAAAGTGCCTGGCCATCCTACACAACGTGACAGACTCGGTAATACAAACGAGGAAGAGACAGTTCCTGCAGAGCAGGAAAGACGGTCCGGCGAAAGAAGAAAACGCAGATATTGGTAAACACAACTCTACAGATAAGGCGCTATTTGCACCGCTTAGTTCTAAAACATGTAATCGTGTCACTCAAAATACATAAAACAGAATCAAGAAAAGATTGTTTTCCTCACAGCAGGTAGCAATGCTACGAGACAAGAGTAAGCACCTGCTTCTTGTCCGCGATATGGTTGAATTCCTTGCAAATATCACGATATATGGTAGCTAAAATTAAGAAGGGAAAATATTTAAACTGAGGAATTAAGTTTCTCTCGCGTAAATAACAAAGAGATTTATAGCAAGAATGTGAGTCACATCCAAAACCCATAACGCAAGTCTGGCACCGCGCTGTAGTATCTACGGCAACCATTCATGATGGCTGCAGCACGGAGTGCGCTTACATTTCTCATATTTTTGTTCTCTATTACGTCGTTGCCAATAACTGGCCTGTTGTAACAGTCCCGGATGATAGATAATGAGTGTGGAGCAGTCGGTAGAATGAGAATTGGCAGGGAAAACCGAAGTACTCGGAGGAAACCTGCCACAGTGCCACAGTTCGAACCCGGACCGTCGCGGTGGGAAGCCGGCGACTATGGCACTGCCTCAAATGATCTGTAACTTCAATTAATGAGCACAAAGCCGACGAGGAATCCAGCATCTTCAAACTCCTGTTGAACTGATCGCTATGTCACCCCGTGTTTTACAGGTACAAAGCGACGCCTCGCTTTCCTGGATTTGTTGATAAAAGCCCAGCAAGATGGCTTTGACATCACGGATGCAGAGATCCGAGAAGAAGTCGACACCTTCATGTTCGAGGTTTCAGTATCACATAATTTAAATGCAGAGCCTCAGGCCTGACAGGACAGCATCGCGGTAGTTACCCAGATCCTCACTCGAGGTTTCAATTCAGAGTGGCGGAGCGTTTTATGCAGGGTATCAGCTGACGAGACATGTTGTCTGTACTGCACGTGGTATTTATTCAGACCACTACCGAGAACAGTGAAGGAATAGAGGAAATGAAAAAATGATAAGCATATTTGAAAATTTCGAAACCAATTTTCTGTCTCTAACATGCGTCAAATAGGAGATGCCTAGACCGAGTGACATTCCTGTCGAATTTGAGAAGCTGATTAGTTTTGTAGCTTTCTTCCTATACCCACCTGTTTCCCGCATCTCCTCGTTGTCATTATGAATCATAAGATATGCCTTAAACTGCTGGAATTCTTCCTGGCTCTTATATCTTATTGGTTGCCACATTATCCATGCCTTCCTTCTTAAATGTGTCCTTCCAAAATTCCATTGCATAACTATCAATTTATGCTTCCTTTTAATTTTTATCTTTTTTATAATAAGCATATTTCTTCGATTTCAATTTTCTATCATTTATCCAGAAATTTAATTTCCTTCGTAAAACCTGCATCAATATTTCCCCTTCCTAAAGTCCCAAAATACTCGCTTACTTTCCTTGGATCTAAGTTCTATCCATGTTTCCTTACTTGTGCCAAATTCCGTACACCTAGTGCATATGCACGTAGCTAACTTCTAATGGACCCAGCTTGTCTCCCTTATTACTTTTTCACTTCTCGCCTCATTATTGCTTTATATTGTACCATGTGTGCACATAAGCACGTGTATTCTACTTCATCTCCTCCGTCTGCCATCTTATACTGTCCTAGTAATATTTTCTAGTTCTAGAGAACTTCACATTCCCATTCTAAGAGTTCTGTTCTTTCCCCATCTCTTCTTAGCTAAGAATCCTGTCTCATAACCTGCCATTCAAACACATGTAGACTAATCTCTCTGTTTTCATGCTTCTCCACAGCTCCCAGCTTCACAATATTTTCATCCTTTGCGTTCACCGACAATGCGACCTTCTTAGTATCTACGACTCAAGACTACATTGGCAATTTTCATCTAACTCTTCAATCGCAGTAGTGACTAATCGATTCAGATGTCTCGGATACTAGCATAAGGTCCATTCTGAAAGTTTAAGCGCTATTTTCTATACGCATAATTGAAGGTGCACAATGATGTTGCTCTGAATAACTCTCAGCCACGGAAACTTTCTTCATTTACGCGTCTTCTGAAACCTTCTGCTCTTGAAAGCACATAAACGCTACAGATAATATTCACCTACAGTACCTATCTACCTACCTACCTACCTATAGTACCTAACTTAACTAACTTACTTACTGATTTACTAACTCCATGGAGCTGAGCTCCCTTTAGAAGCCACCAGTTGTGTACTTACTTAAGAATTTCCTAACATTTTATGGAACCCGAAGATTCAGTGCCGTGTTCATAAGAGCCCTCCATTGGTCCCTATCCTGAGCCAGATCAATCCAGTACTTACCGCCCCATCCTACTACTCTAAGACCCATTTTAATATTAATAGCCGAAACATGTAGCAGAGCCAGAACCAGGCACTGACCTTGATATAGTTGTGTTGTGACGGTCTTAATAAAGAAGTTATATTATCCACCCACTTACGTTTAGGTATTCCTAGTGGTCTCTTTCCTTCTGGCTTTCCCCAAAATGCAGTCCTCTTATCCGCCAGTCGCAGTACCTGCAATATCTATATGAAACAACTGGTTCCTCCATTACTAAGTTCCTGCAACTTACTTGACAAACTACACGAACAGAACACATACTGGGGAAGTAGTTTTAGTATTTCCATCCACCACCGAACATATTTCGATAAAACAACACTGGTATTGGGAATGTACAGTAAAGTTTATTGGGCGGACTCATCATTAGTTCGTTTTATTTAAATGTAACCCCTACTTTACAGAAAGCTTATATCGGACTTCACTGGGTTCCTTAGCAAGTGTTGATCTTAATATAAAAACTTGTTCCTAATATACAATATAAATTTTACTTAGATCCCAAAATTTTACTCGAAATTTATTCCATACATATTAAAATAAACACGAGGAAAGTAGTGCCTTACTGCACAGTAAGAGAAAGTTCATGTGCTTATAAATGAAAGTAAGGAAAAAACAACAAACGACAAATAAAGCCCTGGGTGTTAAACAAATGCACTCCAGAAGCAGTCCTACATTTTTCAACTCCTGCTCAATACGTTCAGGATAATAATCGCATCTTAAGTACGTTGTCTAAAATGTTGCAAAATGTTAAAACTTTATTAACTGTTTTAATACAGGGTCATGACACAACGACTTCTGGGATCTGCTTCACTCTGTTTGCCCTGGCTAAGCATCAGGACGTACAGGTAAAACCGACGTCATATTTAAGCTTTCATTATCCCTACATTCTTCCGCCAAACACAAAACTTTTCTAAAAAAGTGGACTTAATTTTAACTTTGCAGGCGAAGGCAGTGCAGGAAATAAAGAGCATTTTCGGCGATTCTGATCGTGATGCTTCCTACAACGACCTGCAGGAAATGAAGTATCTAGAACAAGTCATCAAGGAAGCTCTGAGACTCTACCCCACGGTTCCCATATTTGGGCGGAAGATATCAGAAAACGTCACAGTTGGTGAGGACAGCTTAAACATTAAGGAAAGCAGTGACACTAGAAAGGAATGCAGGAGAATAAGCTGACCAGATGTAGTGATATGCCCGTACACAAACTGAAGCTACGAATTATTTATGTTATAATATTGCTTCCGTTCTAAGATCCATAAGCTAATTACTTCTATTTGGCATAAGGAAAAATTGCCTGATAAGTGGAAGGAGTCTATTATTGTACCAGTACACAAGAAGGGTGACAAAACTGACTGTAGTAATTATTGGGGGATACCACTGCTATCAACTTCATACAAAAGTTTATCCAGTATTCTTCTCTCAAGGTTAAATCCATACATATATGAAATTACTGGGGATCATCAATGTGGCTTTCGGCGTAACAGATTAACTAGATTGATCTAGCTCAGGATATGGACCAGTGGAGGGCTCTTGTACACACGGTAATGAACCTTCGGGTTCCATAAAATGCTGAGTAATTCTTGAGTAGCTGCAGAACTGGCGGCTCCTCACGAAGTACAATAATGAGACTGCCTCAGTTTGCTTGAGGCGGATGGGTAAAGTAAGAAGTAAATTAATCACCCAGTTCCTCACTGGACTTTGGGAGGAACTTTTAGAGAAATATTCCATAACGTTCACTTAACAGAAGTCTAATTCACAGAGGGTTTGAGAGAAAACACGTAAAATACGTGGTGCTATCTAAAAGTTCTCGAAATATACGAGTATTAATAACAACTATTACATCTTACCTGGATCTTATTCTGCACCATCACCTTCAAAGTAGTCCCATTGGGAGCGCATGCACCGATCCCAGCGTTTCTGCCACTTCTCAAATGCATCATGGAAGTCTTTCTTTGTTAGGGTGTTTAGTGCCGTCTGCGTTTCCGCTTGAATTTCCTCAACCGTATCAAATCTTCGCCCCTTCAACTTGATTTTCATCTTGGGGAAGAGAAAGAAGTCGCATGGAGCTAAGTCTGGCGAGTACGGTGGGTGGGGAACAACTGCCATCTTGTTTTTAGCCAAAAATTCCTGCACAATGTAAGCCGTACGCGGTCGTGCGTTGTCATGGTGGAGTACCCAGTCGTTCGTGCGCCACTTCTCTGGACGTTTTCTCCTCATGTCCTCCCTCAAACGCCTTAAACATCGCGATAGAACTCTTTATTGACTGTCTGACTAGGAGGGACGAACTCCTTATGAAAAATCCCGTCAATATAAAAAAAAAAACACAGATCAACATGGACTTAATGTTGCTCTTAACTTATCGAGCTTTTTTTGGCCGAGGTGAAGAAGGGCTCTTCCATTGCGACGATTGCTGCTTGCTTTCAGGGTCGTAGCCACAAACCCAACTTTCGTTACCAGTGACAACCTTCGAAAGAAAGTTTGGATCCTCTTGAAGCTGTTGTTGAAGTTCCCTGCAGACTTCCAAGCGATGCTGCTTCTGTTCATTTTGCAGCAGTCGTGGCACAAACTTCGCCGCAATCCTCCTCATGTTCAGTTCCTCTGACAAAATTCGTTGACATGTACCATAACTTAGTCCCAAGGTGTTACAGAGGTCTTGGATGGTCAGTCTACGGTCTTGCAGAATCAGATTGCTAACTTTCGCGACATTTTCTGGTGTGCCAGTTGACGGCCGTCCCGAACGATCATCATCATCACTCGATGTTTGGCCATTTTTGAAACGATTATACCAATCGTAAGTTTGTGTCTGGCCTAAACTGTTTTCGCCAAAAGCTTGTTTCAACATTTGGTGCGTTTCTGCAGCGGTTTTCCCATGTTTAAAACAAAACTTTATACAGACACGCTGCTCTCTCAGGTCAGCCATAGCAAAACCGCAGACTCACGGAAACGCAACAATGGAAATACGTTCACCAACAAAAAACCAACCACTCAACTCGACGCTGCTTACCACACTGATTCAAGAACGGTGTGTGGGGATACACCTAGAGGTATTTCGATATACTCATAACCATTCCGCGCAAACTTCAAATTTCTGGAACTTTTTGATAGCACCACGTATATACTCGTAGACTTCCGTGTGGATTGGCATTAAGTCAGCTCCTGTTATAAATTTGCCGTCTCGCTAAAATGAGAAAAGTAACTGATTTTTATTAAATTCCAGTCTTACGGCCTACAGTTTATTAAACATGACAGGCCCTCAAATAAACATTAATTTTCAGACTTGCGTTTACATATACCTGTTTTTATAGATGTACGGACCACAGATTGAAATTATTCGATAAGAAATTCAACATGAATTATACCTTCAACCGTCCTTCGAGTCGGGGACTTCACCCGCATTACTTCCGGAAACGCTTTCATTTTCACAATCTGAACACGAACTACTTTCTATCTCTCACACAAAAATAATCTGGAATAGATCTTAATTGTACACGTTATCACACAAGACCCTGTTTAGAGTAACGCAAAGAATAATGAAAGATGCAAATTCTATACGTAGCAATATTATTGTTAAGAATATCGTTAAGACAGACAAGTCTAACGAAACAAAAATAGTTTGGAATGGAGAAAACATGTAACAGAGAAACTTGTGTGTTATACACTCTACGTATTTGCATTTCACCGTTAACTCTTGAGACTGAAAGAAATGGTTATTGGAAAATATTTCTTGTACAAGTAAAACAATATTAAAAAAGAAACCATGCACTTGCTTCACGTACTTTTCAGTCCTGAGGATGGAGATGTAAATTCTCCTGGAACATTGGGCCAGCCCCGAAAGGCAGAAGTCTACTGTTCAATGTTAAAAAACACTTTGAGGAAATCCTTACTTGGACTGAACTGGCTCAAAATCATTCAACATTGTCTGCAATGTATCTAAGTCTTGGTGTTTCCTGGTGTTTCTTGTTGCAGATGGCTACGAGTTTCCAGCAGGAAGCAATCTGGTTATCATACCATACATGTTACACAGACATCCGGATTATTTTTTGGATCCGGAGAAGTTCGACCCGGATCGGTTTCTGCAGGAGAACTCTATGGGAAGGCACCCATACTGCTATGTTCCATTCGCTGCAGGGCCCAGAAATTGCATAGGTACGTATGAATGTATGAAGGGTGGGCCTTCTCGGCCCTTGCACCGCGACCTCAGTGGTCTATTGTGCTTACATAGGTACGTAGATATAAGTAGCATGTAGCTTTAAAATTATGGCTCTGAGGAAATAACGTGTAGAGCAACCAGTTTGAAAAACGTACAGGTCAGAGAAGGTTACTTAACGAGGAATTTATACAACTCATGTGCTATTTCAAAGGCAGTCGAACAAGTTATATTCTTCTTGACATGCACATACGAAACAGGAAAGGAAATTAATTCCTTGGAGTAAGCTCAAGTACTTTTTGTGCAGCTGGTATACACCGCTGTTAGATATCCCGAAAGTTTATTGGATAAAGAAAAGAAATTTTGAATAGGATATCTTCTGAGTATGTATTTATTTTTAGCGCGACCGCCTCTGTGGTCAGAGTTCCTGGCTACAGATCCAGCGGTCCGGGTTCGATTCCCGACGCTACCAGATTTTCTCAGAAGTAGTGGATCTGGGACGGGGTCCACTCAGCCTCGTGAGGATAATTGAGGAGCTATTTCAGGGAAATAACAGCTCCGGTGTAGAAAACCGAAATTAACTGACGTGGGGATTCGTTGCGCTAACCACGCGACACCCTCTATCCGCTAAAGTTGACACTTACTTCGCAGACAGGCGGCGGTCGCTCGATCGGTATAGTTCACTTTCGGACTAAAACCACGGAGTTTGTTGTTTTTTATTTATTTTTGCGTATTTAAGAACAGTGTCAGTAGTTTATATTACGTAACGTCGAATGGTATGGTGACAAGTGAAGGCTGAACTGGAAGGAATGTGGAAGAACTCGGTCATGGGAATTTCAATGTACTCTCCCGGCATTGCTTGGAGGGATCGACGGCATTGCTTGGAGGGATCGAGAACACCCACGAAAGCTTTATTCATGAGAGTCGGTGTTCCGGCTGAGATTCGAACCAAGAACCATGAAAATATGTAGGAAAGATTACTGCCTGAGCCAACTGACCTCTGAATTCTTCAGAAAGGAGGTCGGTTAGAAGATGGCGGACATGTTGGGATGATAATAGAATGATTTATTTATATTCTGAGGATGGGACGTGGACTGAACTTAGTCAGGATTCCATATAAGCGGTGCTGAACCTTCTGGTTGTAACATTAGTCATGCACTCGGTCTGAGGACAATTCACCCAACGCTAGTTACTTCCACCATGGACACAAACTGAATACGCATGCTTTTTCAATCTTCAATCCCTCCGTACCGTGTGGCTTCAATTCAATGAAATAACGAAAGATTGTCATATTCAGTGTAGCAACAATGATTTGCTGTTTTTGTTTTCAGGCCAGAAGTTTGCCACCATGGAGATGAAGGCCGCACTCTCTGCCGTGCTTCGGCGCTACAAGCTCTCACTGGAAGACCCGAATGAGGAGCCGCGACTCGTTGCAGAGCTGGTATTGAAATCTGCCGGAGGAATCAGACTGAAGCTCTCTCAGTAGAGAACTGATTCGGCTGTCCCTTCTTCCTATTCAAAACTAATTCCGTAGTACACAGTAGTTTCCTTAGGTGAATAAGGAATTGCCTGCTATATGGAACACGAAACTTTAATCCTTTATTCACAAAAGGCCGCCACTGGATGCTAGTTTGAGACCGTTCAATTCAGTTCATATTTTGAGAACCACCTATGCGTTCGTAATCCAAGCTGAAGGTTTTCACGAGAACTCTTTAATTTATTTTCTCCCACGCGTAATATATGGCCTCCCAATATCAAGGATTCTGTTTTTCAGTCGGTTAATGAATGTGAACCAGTTGACGGAATGAGGAGTGGAGGGCGGAACCGAAGAACGTGGGAGAAAACCAGCCCTAACGGAACTTTGTCCACCATCCAATATGAATATACTTGAGGTCGAACCCGGGTCTTTGCTGGAAGCCGAAGACTAATCGCCCGAGCTCTTCCTTATTCTTTCACTATAGCAATAATACGCAGAAATCTCATATTTTGTAGGCCATCATTGTTTAATTCTTGTTCTTCCTTCAGAATGAAAGATAAAGCTCACACGTATATACTCGTACTTACTTTCCACATGCCACCTTATATAAACATTCGTTTCACTGTGACTGACACGTGGCATTTCGGCACAAGAAGCGACGAGACTGATTGAATGTTTAATAAAGCAGCAAGGTCTCAGTAGCCAGGCACCTAATGCATGATCTTGCAGCTGCCCAACGACATAGTGGGATGACATTGAAGATAAACTGTGATGTGTGAGGCGACTGGACTGCCGACCAAGACACGATTCCGAACACAAGTGTTGCGAGTTGACAAGGAGAATGCATGTCGTCAATCGAAGATACCGGACGATTTGAGGGAGACTCAAATATTCTTCCTGCATATACTATAGTTTCGTGCAATACAAGCGATCGAATATCCCACCTTAGTCTCTGCATAAAGTAGGCTTGGTAAGAGCCGCTGTTGCCGTTTTGCCGGATCGTTACTCCGTCAGAAAAGGAACCTGTGAATCCCTTGAACATTTAATTATGTACAGTCTAGTGTACTCTGTTGCACGTTAAGTTCTAAGGGCCTGAAATGAGTTCAGTGGCTCAGAACTGAATCCAAATGCGGGATTTTGTAATCATTCATGAAGTTTTAGATCCCATAGCAACAGGGAATTGCATGTGAACGTTAAATCCACGGAAGGTGGCCTATAATCGAGTGTTATTTGATATTCAACATATGCATCTGCTGTTCATTACAACGGCACAATATAATGCTGAGGTTTTGGAGTTAGGAATGTGAAACACGAAAAATACTTTTAAATATATATTTAATTTTTAACATGACATCATGCAACATTTATATACAGCTGTATAACTGAAACAAAACGTTTAAGAAAATAAATAGTTTGCCATGCTACAATTAAATATGCTTACAGATATCTTTATTGTAGCCCATGCAAGGAAGAATAGGGCTGAGTCCTCTTCCATTGTTTCTGTAAGTTCTGTGAGGTAGCCAGTGTAAGAAATATGTTGAATCATTTAACAAGTGTGTTGTCATTCTGCCAATCCAAAGATGACTCTTGCTGTGTTAATCTGGCTAGTGGCAGAAGGGGTAGTTGGGACAGGCTGCCGCGCTGACCCCAGCGGGGTACTTCTGGGCATGATGTCCCGGCAAGGGGGCCACTGGCACGTAGTGGCTGCAGTATGGGTAGTTGGGGCACGAGGAAGGACTCACCCCAGCAGGATAGTTGTAGCTGGCAGCAGCGGCGTAAGGAACGTACGCGTGGTATGCAGCAGAGTTGCAGTAAGGGTAGTTAGGGCACACACCCGGGTGCACCCCTGCGGGATACCTGTCCGATTGCGCCACTACGACCGCAGCGAGCATAACCTGCAGTGAACACACAACTGTATTAGCTGCATTCCGTCTGTCTTATTAGACAGTTACTTACACGTCGGTCAGTTATTCCTGACAACCCATAGCACTCACGCAATATCCTATATTGTCGCCAGGATATGGGTTTATTATCGAATGTACGCTTAACTAACTTCATGGAGCTGAGTCTTGCTTGAGAAGCCGCCAAGTGTGCAGCTACTCAAGAACTTACCAGCATTTTATCAAACCCGAAGGTTCAGTACCATGTTCACAAGATCCCACCACTGGTCTCTATCCTGAGCCAGATGAAGCCAGTCCATACCATCTCATTCTATTTTTCTAAGATCCATCCTAATACTGTCCACCGACCTATGTCTTGGTCTTCCTAGTGGTCTCTTTGTACGCTTACCTACATTAATTATACATTTGACTGGTGTTTTGAGTCCCTCAGCCACTCAAGAAATTCACAGGAGCCCAACACTGGCCCCTGTCATGAGCCAGATGAATCAGTCTACCTGTATGTTTCTATACAATGGAATCAAACTTCTATTTTTCAGTTTGCAGCAATGGATTTTATCGCTGGATTGCGGGCAGGCAGAGCTCTCAGTTCTACACAGCATTCGGGCCACGATTTTTACTGTTTTGCTTTGAAAGTAGCAGAGTTTAATGCAAGAATGTGGACACGATGTGAGCTCTCATAATACACAGTTAATGTAACAAACACAGTGTATTTCAGAACAATGTTAAGAGTAAAGATTAATTTCATTTCCTGTAGGAGGGACGATAAATTTCAACGTTTTTCTTTCTCATTATTCTGCTTGATTCGGAGACGACCGTCCATATAAGGCTCTAGCCATTTACGGGAATTTGATTCTACTTTGTTATGGGTCTCCAAAACCGTTGTTTATATAACTGTAGAGAGAGAAAATAGCTACATCCGTATAGAAAATTTACCCCTTGTTTTCCATTAATTTATTGACACTCGTGAAGTCTGTCCTTTCTCTTAGTTTCGCAACAAAATGTCCTGGTACTTGAAAATATAATTTTTATTCTTCTACTTTTAATATTTTTTAAATCCAAAAATTCTTCGGATAATTGTCTTTGTATTAAACATATAAGCCCATAAGAAGAGGACTCGTGGTAGGTCAAAATTAAAATTCTCTGGACTCTAGCTCATAAGAGACTGGAAATACACGTAAATATAATAAAATAAAATGCACAATAATTTAAGAGCCTGTGACATCACGTTCGTTAATGTAACTCAATTGCACACTTGTATGAGATGTAAATTATATTCACGCGTGAAAAAGGCATTATATACATATGTTGTAATTTTATTACGTAATAAATAAATTTAGATACGAAACTTATGGCGTGGAATCGAAGTACGGTCCACTAGATACCGGAATTTCAGCTGACAAGGAAATGGAGCTACAGTTATTTGCATGTCAAGGCCGTGTCATAGCTCTGGCGGGCTAGTCGCTGTCTTCCCACCGCGGCGGCCCGGGTTCGATCCAAGTACAAGTCATGTGGGATTTGTGGGAGACAAATTGGCGTTGAGGTAGGTTTTCTCTGAGTACTTCAGTTTACCCTGCCAATTCTCATTCAACCTACTACTCCACACTCATCATCTATCATCCGGGGCTGGTACAATTGGCCAGTTAGTGGCCGACGTACCAAGTGGACGCAAGAAACTAAAAAAAAAAAACTATTTGTATGTGGATTTACTCTGACCCTCCCGGCTCAGTAAATGGAAATGAATCACAATAAAAAAATAAACCAGTACGGGAAAGTACCGTTTGGTTGAATTGCTCCATGCGTTGCTTTATTCAAATTTATGTAACCATTTTACGTCAAGGACTCCATATACGTTGATACTAGCGCCGACACAATATATCCCAATATCTTTTACGAGATTTGAATCCGTTCTGGTGGAGCTCGCTCACGCTGATACATGTTTCTGTACCGTCTTCCAGCTCTCTCACCCGCGTCGGGATATGCATTGCGCCACGCGACACACAGAATTGTCTGTAGGAGCATCCAGCACGCGTCGCAATCCGCATCGCTAATGAGAAACTTAATGCACATATCAGGGCATATGATACTGTTACCACAATATGCCAACTAAATAATAAACTAACTCTATGGAGCTGAGTCCTTCTTGAGAAGCCACCAGTTGCTCAGCTACTCAAAAATTTCCCAATATTTTATGGAACTCGTATGATCATTACCGTGTTCACAAGAGCCCTTTACTGATCCCTATCCTGAGCCAGATTAATCCAGTTCATACCACCCAGTCTTGGTTCCCTAGGGGTCATAATATTACCCTCCCACTTGAGTGTGTCTTCCTAGAGGCATCTTTTCTACCAAAATCACTTATTCAATCCTGTTCTCACCATGCGTGCTGCATATTCTGCCCATCTTATCTCCCTTGACTTGATCATTCAAACTATGCCAAGGAAACTAAATAACATAATTCAATAGATCACTGGTCAAATATTATATTCTTTAATTAAATTGTTATTGTGGGGCGTTTAGATTTGTTGATTTAACTGAATGAACGTGAACTCACATGTTTTTAATTTCCACAGGGCTACATCATGTAAGACAAAGAGGGAACACACTCAAGATGCCTGTCTTCAGGTACCTATCTAACAAACTGCATGGCATCACATTTAGGGAGACCATAGCCTTAACACTCACCACAACGAGCAACTCACACCTGACATAAGCAGCGAAAACACTCGAATTTCATTCTTAATTCGACCTCCTCACTTGTCTGAGACATGGCCTTACAGTTCGCCTACAAACCTGATTATTTGATTATTCCCAAGGTTTTCAGCACACCCGATCTACCGTGTGTGGTCATTTCCCAAGCCTGCTCTGAGACACTCACCAACTTGAAGAACATGTTGAGTAAAGCAAAGCCTCCAGATCGACACCAGATTTAGGAGTGTGATTTTGTCACAGCAAGTGTACAGTTTTTATACTGTATTCAGCAGAACGCCATCTTAAATTCGGAAAGCAAATAATAAAAGAAACAACACAATGAAATGCCACAGCAAGACATACACGCCAGGTAACTTACCGCTCCATTGCCTCCTTCATATAAAAGCGATCTATGTCGCTGTGAGGAATAGTGCTCTTTTCAAACAGGGATTTTTATTAAAGATTTCTTTTAAGAGAAATCTCCCTCCCATTTGGGTAGCATACGATATTATATTACTTTCATATTTCAAGACCTGTAATCCTGGAGAAAATTACTGTTCAATATTCTTGTAAAATGTTGTGTACCGATGTAATATAAATATAAAATATAAACAAATAAATAAATAAAATATAAAAGAAACGTATAATGGAGTTTGTTTACGTAAATATTTGTGTAATGAAGTCCCAGTTAAGAAAATGCCATATCACAATTCCTTTCCAACTTCGATTTAGAATAAAATATGATGATCGAAGGAATTCAGGGGTATCTGGAATTAAACGGGACACATCTGCTTCTGGTCTGTACTGACGAAGTTACTTTTTAGGCGAAAAAATAAGTAATGTAAAGAAAGACACAGAAACTCGTAAACATTATTAATGAAGCTGCTACTGAAAAAGGCTTAAAGGATAAAACTAGCAGCCTGTAGATATCCAGGTATCTCGACAAAAATGCATGAAAAGTGTTATATAAATATAAATAATAATTTCTTAGAAAAGTATGCAATATTTGAAAGCGAAAGTAACAGATCTAAACTATATCCAAGGATAAGTCAAGACTAGACAGTATGCAGGGAATTCTCTGTCACTCAGCTCAGAACTGTGTGCTCCTCTCTTCCATCTAAGAATCTAGGAATCACAATAGAATTATAATCTCTTTAATTTATTCCGTCACTACAATATGTAGTATGGACACATCTTGCAACACGTTTCCGCCCATTAAGCCACCAACACGTGTTTGACTTCTTATATTCGTATGTATTCTTCTGCTAGTATTCCTACATTAGCCAATGTTTATATATTGGAACACTGGACTCTTAGCAATATATAATGACGTTATATATAAGGTGTTCACCTGTTATATTAAATATTAATTGTTAAAATGTTAAATTCTTAAAATTAAGTTAAACGTATATAGGTTTACTTATGTTTTGTCTGGCTGTAGTAGTTGTGTGTAGGTATGTCACTTCTACCGCGGTAATTCTATGGCTTTCTTCTTGATCTTGCATTGATGTAGTGCGTGTTTTGTTGGCTTGCAGGTCTGTGATTGTGTCTTTTGTGTTCCGTGTATTTGGGACAAGTATTGTGTCTTGTATGTGGTGGTTGTGCATTATAATTCTATCCGTCGTTTTACATGGATGTTCAGCTTGGTTTCTCACTTTAAGGGATGAACAAGAAATTGGAAGTGAGTGAGAACAGTGTGCTGAGAAGAATACTTGGACGCAAGAAGGAAGAAACGATAGCATGAATAAGAACAGTCCATAATGAGGCCCTTTCTAGTTTGTACTGTTCGCCAAATAGACCTGCCCTTATGGTGATTAACTCAAGGATAAGAATAAATGGGATATGCAGGACACATGGGAGAGCTAAGAAATGCATAGAAATTTAGAGACCTAAGAGTTTATGAGAAGGGATCAAATATTAAAGGGGAATTGAAAGAACCACGGCGTGAACAATGGATCGGATTCGTCTGATTTAGGACAGCAACCACCGTCGAGCTGTTGTGAACACAACAAAAATATCGTCTCTGAGAATTTCTTGGCAAGCTTAGCGATTGTCAGCTTCTCAAGAAGGACTCTGTTCCATCGAGTTAGACTTGCAAACATATGAACTACTATAATGAGAACATCTTACTACGTATCAGCCAGTACGGATAAATAACGGAAGCAGACTGGCCGCTTGCACTGCAGTCACAGCCTTCTATTAAACCAGTCTACTGTTCCGTGCCCTGAAATCATGCATATTAATTTATAAATGATAACATTAAATGCGGCTCTAACTTGACTTGCTTTCAAATCTCGTGTGTGAAC